TTCCCTACAGTACCTCCAAACCATGCACCTGCTCCTAAGTCACCTCGCCAATCCTATCAACTGTCTGAATAGCTCTAATATGTTTTTTGAACTTGACGACCAACCTGTCTGTGATATCCCAATCTCACCCTACCATCAGCTGCTGAAGAACTCCTACTAACGTTAGCTAACTATTCCGTGAATACTATTATATGCAACAAAACTTAAATAATATTTTGAATAAAAGACCCAACCATACAACAATTAGACTCAGACGAGAGCAATGCAATTGGAACAAATCAATCACTCTTAGATTATTTAACCTTTGCAGCATGTAACTTAGCATAGTCATGCAATACTTAATTCACATCAATATAAGGCCTTCAAAGCACAAAGAAAACAACCTTCAAGCAGTAGAACTCAATGGGCCACAAAAGGAACAGAAAATAAGACTAAATCAATCATTTTAGGGCTATATGATCGTAGTCGTATACAATTTTTAAAACATACACTTAGAAAATAATTTCACTATTTTAGATTCTAGGTAATTCATAACATCCAATTCCTCTTAAGTTGCCAGGCATCAGATATTAGGCAATTCTATCATGCAATTCCTAAATGTATCCTTAGCCCTATCATATGATGAAAACATTATATAACATATAACATATTATGTATGGGTATTTTGGGAATCACTTACTACATCTCGGATGATTGCACACATCACACCCCTTTGTTTGAAAAAGTAATATTAGAAGATTTTATTTTCATTCAAATAGGTAACCACTTCCTCATTTTGATTTCAGACACACCCGAGAGTGTTCCCGAATCCATCATATACACACATTCCTTTATTCGAAAACCAATACGGGTAAATTGTATTTTCCAAACATCAGAATAAAAAAAGTATAAGTAGTGTGGATAAGCCATCAGGGATGTCGTACAGTGAAGCCGAGCCTTTCCCTTTCGGAACTACAAGCACCTAAAAATGTTAAACCGCAAATCCTTAGCACATAGCTTAGTAAGTTCCCTAAAATACCCCATATATATATATATATATATATATATATATATATATATATATATATAACATGTAGTTGCCTTGGGTCTATAACAACCCCATGTCAGTATCAACCCCGAGTCCATATTGACTCCGAATCCATGTTGACACTGAGCCGAGACCGGCTTCATCAGGTCCGTATCAACCCAGAGTATATATTGACTTGGAGCCCAAATTGGGTCCAAGTATACAACATACAAGCACATCAACAAGAGCCACAAAGAAAGAATGTATCCTACATACACAATCTAGTAGGCCGATATTGAGCCTTCAAACCACGAGTACAGTAAGAAGACTCACAACACAGCGTTGAAAAAAATCGGTAAATATCAAAATCTAAGAACAGGTGTTGAACGTCACTTTGATATCCACACAAGGTAAACTCTTAGGATACCCTTATAAAGCTAGCAATTTAACAAAAAGCAACAAGTCAAGGTCAACCCTCAAAGTCTACATTTAAAAAAAAAGGTCAAAATTATCAACAACAACCCCCACGTTGTAGCCTCCTTTGGTCACAATGTGGGTATAAAATGCCAAACACTACAAGAAAAAGACCCTTTTACGACGTGCAAACCACGACACTCAGTGATTTATGTTACGCAAAGGAGAGTGACATTAAAAGAGTGTCGTCTATTCAAAAAATTTAAAGATTTAGGTCACGCATTATTGTGTGCCCTTAAATAGTGTCTCATGTAAAAAAATTAAAAACATGGAGGGCACTCGTGCGTCCTCTGTGAATGTTGTTTTATATTTTTTTTTAAGAAACGCGCATCTCTAAGAGGGAAAATGAAATCCCCAAATTTTTTAAACACCCGCCTTCTTCTCCTACATTCATTTCCATATGACTCTCATATCTACCCTACATCGTCTCCACCTCTCACCCACATCCACTCTCATCCAGAGCCTACTAGCGATTGAGGGTTATTTTCACATCTGCTCTACTTCCCATCGTCCATCTACTTCTGCCCTAGATCCGACGATTGAAGAGTACAAATATGTGTAGGGTTTTGTTTTATTTTAAGCTTCCACTTCCCCTGTTTTCGTGGTGATCAACCGGTGGTGAAACGATTCAGCGCCAAAAAAAGAAGCGGCTCTCCATTCTCTTCTCGATTGAGATTTCTAAGGATTTACATCAGTATCTCAAACGACTTCAACTCTTTTCACATATTTCTTCCCATCTGATTTTATTCAGATTTCTTATTGGCGACTCATTTCCTCTCCTGTCGAGTTCGAAATTTTCACTCAAGGAAGTAATGGCAGCGGAAGATGATGAAGGGCCTTCAATGGTGCTTTGTTTATTACACTATGGTAGCGGAGATGAAGGTGTTGTTGATACCCCTAAACAATAGTCATCTTAAAAGAAATTACCAAAGAGAAAGGTACGTATCAGTCCTAGAGTTCTTATATAAAATTAGGTCATATGTACCCTTCTTATATAAAATTAATGAAATCGATTTTAAAAGCGAGCCATAATATCTATTTTGAAATCGAGCCTATTCCGGTAATATTCATGTTTGTAGAATTCGATTAATCTGGTTTTGCCCTAAGCATCGCCTTGACAGAAATGGAAGAACAAAGTGATTCGCTAAATTTGTTTTTCAGTTCGTATTGATCGCTAATTTTGTCCCAATCGCTTCTAATTCGATGTTCCAGATCAGTTTTATATTCGAATTGGTAATTAGTATGGTAATATTTTTCTTGATGCTGTACTTGATTGTGAGTGTATTTGATAATATCGATTGTTGAATTGGGACCTTATGGTTCTTCATTGTTGTTCTATTATCAATTGTTGATCTGTTTTCCATATGAAAACTAAATCTATTAACAATGGAGTTGTGAATCAATTTGACTATCAAAACATGATTCTTTAACATGCTTGTTAGATGTTTGTTGAAATGTTTGAATACAATTGTTCAATTTCTAATGAAAGCTTACCGTCATTCTTTCTCTTCTAATTTCTGATTTTATTTTTCTGAATAGCAGTAACATCAATCGAGATTAGTGGAAATTGGTTTTTATTTTTTATAGTTGATACTTGAGAAAACCTTATATGTTTTTTTTTTTATTTTGTGAAAATTAATTCCATGTGAAAACAGAAAATGGTATGTTGTGTTAGAAAATGACAATCATACCCCTGGTCACAGTAGTCTCATATCATTATTTCCATTCTCACCTTCACTCCAATGCCCATTATTAGAAGAAATCAATGAGCTCCTTGCCAGCTGATGCTGCTGGAAGTTGGTCTGATAATGAGATGAAAGATGATTGTTGCCAACCATCCTTGAAGGATTTGCAGCATAAAGTTTCTCTTGGTCATGCCATACACTGTTATATAGTTCATGGTTCTGCATAAAGTGAAACTTTTGCTTCAAGGTCATCCAAATGTACAATGTGATTTTTCATAACATCAGGTACCAATGTAGATTTTTCATAACATCAGTGAAAATCTTAATCAGTTGAATGTGTGTTTCATAACATCAGGTACAAATGTACAGTGTGATTTTTTTATTCAATTGCAGGGTAATCTTATTCTGGAAGGCCATAAAGTTCTTATCTTTTCCTAGAGTTCCATAATGCTTGATATTATTCAGGTTTGTTTCAATGCCTAATATTGGACATAAAAAATGATGGCATACTTGGAGAAATGGAAGTAAAAAATAAACGAGGGCATAATTTAAAAAAAAAAAAAAAAAAACTGGACTTAATAGGGAAAGCCTAATTTCCCTTACTTTCCCTATTAGATCCCTCTTTCTAAATTAAGTCAAAAAGAAACATGCATATATAGCTAACCATATAAAGTCTTGTCCCCACTAAGTCCATTAAGTAAAAAAGAAACAAATTTTAATTAGTTACTTATGATCATCTCATTATTAGATAAACATGATACCTGGCTTTCAGTCAAAGTTAAATTAACCATTTTATTGATATTTGTTATCTTAGGGATTCATCTCTTGAAGCTCACATAAAGTTTTTAGAATCTCTTTGTATTGCTGGTATTAGTCACCATAGTTTACTATTCTCCAAGATTGCTCCAGTGCCAGTCATGCAACATTTTAAACTGAGAAGGTGAGACCCCTAACAGCTTTCAAGGGCATTATGGGGCTTCTAGATTCAAGGGCATTAAGGGGTTTTCTAGTATCTGCCCTAGGGCACATATAAGAAAATGTAATTATGGAAACTAATTGTATTTGAACTAAACTTATTAATTCTCTAGACTTCCTGTTGCGAAGGATGAATTTATTGGTGCTCAAATATTGTGACCTAATTAGTTATTCTAATCACATGGATATCTTCGTTTTGACGATGAAATTAAGAGATACATGGATTTGGGAATTTTTAATCTAATTGATACTTGATAGGACTTAGGAGTATCAACTATTATATGGTAAAGATTATACATTTATGAGTATTTTGTTTCTTGGCTAAAGCTAACTAAATTGGCTATGTTTCTTGTTCTTTTTCTTAACCAAAGTTTATCAACTTCGTGAATATTATTCTGACTTGTTTTGATATTTATTTTTGATGTTTTGTTCTTAATGTTGGTTCTAACTTCTATTTTTTTTCTTTTTTTTTTTTTAACAGTTACAAGGGACCTGAATAGGAGTTTTCTGAATTTCTAGTGATGGCTACAGACACAGAAGCTTTTGAAATGATTTCCCATATTCCATTCTTTACTAAATATAAGGTATGTTTCTAATATTTTTGTTCCTTCAAAAGAAGAATTGGGGAGAGCATGTGGAGTTAAAAAACCGGTGCTTTCATGTTCGTTGACCAGCATTGAAAGAAGTCAACTAAGATCCCAAATCCAGCAACTCAAGGTTTACTTTATTATCTTCTCATAATCTTTAATCTAATTACACACTATCAGATCAATGTTTTTTCTGCAATTGCTTCTTTTACATTGTCTTCTACAAGTTACTGTTCTGCTACTTTTTAGCATGATACAACCAAGGATTGTATTATGTTGAAGATTATTCGTGTTCTTCCCCCTATTGTTCCTAGCAGTCAAGTGAAAGCAAACTCCTCAACATGGGAGGCATCGGGTGAGACATTAAACAACATTGACCATGAAGCAATGGTTGTTGACCTTGCACTTGTATTAACCATGCAGGTTGGCAGTTGTCATTAAAACGACGATGTTTATTATTGTGGTAAAATGTTTTGGTTTAACTTTACTGAATTATTATTATTCAGGTTATGTTGACTGACTTTAGGGTAGCAAAGCAATTTGATGAAAGCACAAGGTTAAATTCCATGTGTGGGACATTAGAATATATGACACCTGAAATTGTACAAGGGAGGGGCCATGATAAGGCCATTGATTGGTGGAGTGTTGGAATTTTAATGTATGAAATGCTTACTGGAAAGGTTGGTGTGCTGTCACCCTTATTTACTTTCAATAAATCACTATTAAATTCCCCTAACTTTTAGCGTGAGGGTAATAATGTAATATTGTTCGACATTGTATCCTTGCAGCCTTCGTTTAGAGGTGGAAACAGATAGAAGATTCAGGAGAAAATAGTGAAGGACAAGATAAAGCTTGTAGGAGGCAAGTAGAGGTTATTCTGTATGCTTTCAAACTTGTCTTCTTCCTGAATTCTTTTTCTTTGTAAGTTTAGCCTTTTTCTTTGTATGAACAACAATAAATCAACATTTTTTCCTTCTTTTTCTTGTATGAACAATACATAGTCATAGTTTGACTTAATTAGTTGCTTATTTTGTTTATTAGTTGCTTGTTTTCTAGCTTATTATAGTCACTGATTGGTTTCTTGTTATGCTTAAATCTTAACAGCTATCATGGCAACCTTCAACAGTAGTTTTGGACCGGCACCTTCTTGCAAAAGATATCGTGTACGTGTTCTTCTGCTGCTATTGTGGATTCGGGAACATCCTTGCTTACTGGTCCAACTGTATGTATCTCACGTGAAGCTTCTGTTAGAATTGTTAATCTTAGAGATTTCAAGTTTTTCATATTTCTTGTATCTAATTAGTTTGTAAATTTCCGTTACAACTTTTCTTGATTTGTTTAATCTTTCCATGGAACGATTATTTGTATGACATTATATTTTGTGCAATGGATTGAATTTTTGTATATGATATTTTATTTATTAAGAGACATTAAATGAAAATTTAATTTGAAAATTAATAAATCTATAAATAATATTTTTTTTAAACATATAAAATTACGATACGCAAAATGTGTGTCATCTTCATTTATGACATGGCCTTTCTTGACAGGTGCTTCCTTGATACGCAATGCGTGTCATAAACACGTGTGTCGTAAGGTTACGACACGCAAATGCGTGTCGTCTTCCTTTATGACACGGCCTTCCTTGATACGCATTGTGCGTTGCAAATGTGTATCATAAATGCACGTCATAAATGCACGTCGTAAATGCGCGTCGTCTCTCTTTATGACAGGGCCTTCCTTGACGCGCATTTGCGCATCGTCTGAGCGTTTTACGACGCGCAATGAGCGTCGTAAAAGGCTGTTTTTCTAGTAGTGAAATAGTCGACTGATTCCCGAGTGGCCACGACATAGTAGCCAAGGGCCGCCATGGGATCTGGGTCTGAACTGCTTAATGAGTTAACCTATTTCTTTTAATTTCAAGAGCTCCAAAGCTCAGATTTAGTCATTCCAAAGGTCTTGATGGATAAGCTTTCCAAATTTATCCATTAAGACATACAAATGTCATAAGATCTCTAAAATTCGTTCCCTTAAGACATTATGAAGCCTAACTTAACCAATAAGCTCTTAATCACAATAGCTACCCAAACAAACTTTCCCGAAGACTTTTATACTCCATAAGCATATCAAAGTTCATTGCGTTATGGACATGCATGTCCAATGCATGTCTCTTCCAAACTAGGTCAAAACCATGCAAGAAATAAACTTAAACTTGTGCATGAGGCGAAATACACCATCGAACACTAGATCTAGAACATATTACCTCAAATAGACCTATAGGATCCATAAAATTGCCAACTTTATGGAATCCATTTCTTCAAATTCACAAAATATGAAGAAAAGGGATAAGAACCCTGGATCTGGAAGCATAAACTAGAAAGCTTGGAACTTGAATACTCACAAGGGTCTAGAATATGCTAAATATCATGATTATGAAGTTTGCTTGTTGGATCAATGCACCAAAACACATTTTTCTTCTTCTACTTCAAAGCACCAAGAATACCAAAATGAACAAAACTCTCTAAGGGAGGCTAGGGTTTGAGGTAGAGGGTTGAAGGCTAAAGAAGATGCCCTAATCCTTTGGAATTTCTTAAATATGGGGGAAATCCTAAAATTTCAGGCTTAGGCCAGAATAGTTGCCATTCCATGGCCAACCTACTGTCGCGCCATGGAAATCATCAAAAACATGTGTTCCATTTAATCCATGCCATGTCGTGGGCATCCTTGCACCACATCGTGGAAAAAGTTTTGTCCTAAAACTTCATCTTTGGTCCCTGATAAATACTAAGCTTACTTAATTTGGAACACGGGTGTTACATAAAACTTTACATATTTATTTGAAGAGATAAATACCAAATATTGAAATAGAAAAAAGTCATACCCACGCCTTCCAAATTTGAACATAAAAATTCAAAGGAAATCAAAAGGGTGATAAAGCTTAAATAGAAAATGAATAAAACCTCCATAAAAAGGAATGGGCCAAGCTTAAATAAACTAATTATTTTAGACTATTTAGTTTTTTTATAATGATTTGTTTTAGATGTCGATAAGTTCACATATTACATACCGTTTTATAATCTTTTTTAAAGTTTTTTGAACCATATACAATTTTAAAGAATTCTATTTCTTTATCATTAGAGTTTTCAACATCCACAGCTATGCCACCTCTGCCAATAGAATACAAGATGCTACACATTGAAGCTGGTCAACATGTTATTGCCGATATGACTGTGTTAGAAATGATTGGTGATTTTCGACTTGCGAAAGTGAACTCAATTTTTTTGGAACGACAAACAAATATATACTAAAAAGCTAGGGGAAAGCTAGCAAAATGCAAAGTTAGAGTAAAACACAACAAAGATAAAAAGAAGCAAAAAAAACACTAGAACAATGCCACCAGAAAACTACAATGTAAGAAAGTGAACTTGGTACTATTGAAAAACCTATTACTGCCTTCTACTCTCATGGAGCCTAGAACATTAGCATAGTATAATACATAAATGCTCCTAATTACAATGTCCAAAGATATACAAGATTTTGAAGAATCATGTCAGACAGTTTTAACACTAGATATGTGAGTGGAAATGGCCGATACTGCATTCGGCCTAACTGAAAGCTCCATGGAATTGTTTGAAGTTCATGTAGACACTCTTTTTTTGCACCATGTGCAATCCTATGTAATCATGAGAATCAAATCTAACTTAAGAAAATGTAATTTCATTTTAAACTTAAATATGTAAATTGTTGTGTTTTTCACGAATAGTAGTACTTTTCATTAACATTAACTGAACTAGTTGTATAGAAACTATTATATAAATAATTCTCTATATACACATCTAGAAATTATAAAGGACACATAGATTGTCACAGTTAATAAGATCTCATCTAAATCTAACAACATCTGTAAGATGATCTCGTTCTTCGTGAACCTAACAATCTCCACATCTACACCTCAAATCCACCTCTAGACCTATCTTAGGTTTTTCTTGATGGTTATTGATACAAAATATAGGAGAGTTTTTAATAAAACCGCTATGGAAGCTTTTGAAATAATAATACTATTTTCGAGTATATTTTAAAAACAAAACCACTAAAGGAACCTTTAATAGAGGTTAGAATGATATTAAAAACCAACCATAAGTTGTTCTAGAATGAAAACCTTTCGAGCCTTTGAACCCACTTGGTTTTGGGGTGTTGATGAAGATAGAAAGATCAAAGAAGATAATCTTCTGTACAAGTGTCCACCATCAAGGATAACACACTTGGAATGCTATTTCCTATAAGAGCTTAAAAAATAAGAACTAAAGGAGAACGCTCAAAAGCACCAACACTTGCAAGAACTTCAAAACAATATGAAGAAGTGAAGCATCTAAGGATTCTTACGGTTTTAAGAAGGAAAGAAAGAGAACCATAAACGAGCTTAAAACAAATAAGAACTAAATGAGAACACTCAAAAGCACCAACACTTGCAAGAACTTCAAAACAAAATGAAGAAGTGAAGCATCTAAGGATTCTTACAGTTTTGAGAGGGGAAAGAAAGAGAAACATAAACTAGCAAAAAACAACATCCATACATTTTCTTATATAAAGTAATGGTAGCGTTTAGGGGCATGGGAAGCATAATAAATAAGTTCATAAGCAACCTCTCTTCTTCATTATAAAATTCAGTCTTGGTGTTTCCGAGAACACAAAATTATGAGTTTACTTCAGTTACATAAAAGTAACTAATGGTAAATAACTAGCAAGCCTAATGTTAGCCAAAGTGTCCAAAAATTTACTAGCTTCTAGCAATGGGCTACTACCCCTAGCGACATACGTAGAGTGCCATCTTATCAACAAGAAATTAATAGAGCTAAAAGCTCTAATTTTTACTAAAGGTGACATATCAGTTATTCCATTGTCACGGACATCATCTTGAATATGAGATACGCATCACGATCAATCTCATTTGGTGTTTAACTTTTGGTAAGGCCTTAGATGTGTAACTCTCAACGAATAAGAGGAAAAAAATACCATCTTGACTACATATGCCTTTCATGAGTTCATGTTATTCCCAACAATGGACCTTATAATGCCTTTCACAAAACATTTTTAAACGATGTGAAAGCACAACAATTCGTACACCTAAGTCCCAAATATGTATCTTAGGTTGAAGAATACAATGATACTAACTTTTATCAAACATCACTTATGATTACGATCTACAAAGTGATTTTGATACGGGTTAAAGTCCAATACATGTTCACCAATCAAGTACCTATGAATTTAGTAGCATCTGTTTCTATTTTCATCAACATGAAAATCAATCAATTAATCCATTCATATTAGTCTTTCCTCAAAGATGCCCCCACTATTATGAATGACTATGGACATTTAGAATAATCAAGTTATTTATGGATTAACCATGCTTTATAGAACACAACAATTATTTAATGAAAGACAATATGCAATATATATAAATTCATTAAAATATATGTTGCCTATACTATTCTAGTATCCAAAATACTAAAATTCATTCAAATACATCCACTTAGGATAACAACGTCCTATAGTATAAGCTTGGCTTTCATGCTTTAGTTAATGATGGAACTTTGTTAAGTAGATTTGACAAGTATTTGTATAAAATTTATTTTGAGAATGTATTAGATGCCTAAATATGACTTATATACCAATACTCGCGTAATGGGTTTTCCCACAGTCATAAATGAACTAAACATTAAGCATATTCATATGTGGTTCCCCAAACAACAGTCTACTCTAACTCTGATGTGTAACTGTAACTAAAATTTACATGGAACCACTATCCATATAACTTTTCTTCATTCATAATGAGGAAATTCCCGATCGTGATTGAGAATCATCTTAATCTGCTGGTATTTAGTTCCTCGTGCTCTAGGCATATGACTTCTCTAGCCTTCTTGCATATTCATGACAATAAAATTAAACCATTTACACCAGCATGTGGAATACACTCATATTATCCAGCTCAAACCATTTTACTAGGATTTTAAGGGAAGATCAAAATCATGTCATGTGGTATTGACAAGATAAACTCTTTCTAGGTCTTTTATCTTAAGCTCAATAAGATCCTTTACAATTAATGCAATTTTACTTAATCTTTTAAGTCTCCATGATATATATATATATATATATATATATATATATATATATATATATATATATATATCTTATACTATATTATAAATCATATTAGTCATATCCTGAATTTTAAGAGGTAT